TGTGTGTGTGTTCTTGTCTGTGTGTGTGTGTGTGTGTGTGTGTGTCTCTCTCTCTCTCTCTGTGTGTGTGTGTGTCTCTCTCTCTCTCTCTCTCTCTGTGTGTGTCTCTCTCTCTATATATTTGTGTGTGTTTTTCTATGTGTGTGTGTGTGTGTGTGTGTTTCTCTCTATATGTGTGTGTGTGTTGTTCAGGTGAAGCAGACCGTCTGCAGTCATGGGCCGGCGCTCCACCTCCTCCACCAAGAGTGGGAAGTTCATGAATCCCACCGATCAGGCCAGTGAGTACACACACCTCAGATCACCAATAAACCTGTCTGACAGCTGCTGTGTAAACCAGCCCTGACCCGTGTGTGTGTGTGTGTGTGTGTGTGTAGGGAAGGAGGCACGCAAGAGAGAGCTGAAGAAGGTACGTACTTGACCTCTAGACAGACGCTTTTGAATGCAGACACTCCTGACATACAGTACGAAGGTCCAGGTGACTTCTTGCTGAGCTCTTGACTGGTTAGTGCACACTTCTCAGCGTGTGTACAGCGTGATTAGCAGACCGTTAGTGAACACGAGCATCACAGTTACAGACGTATATGTGTGTTTAATCTCAGTGTTGTGCAGTGTTTGGAGAATAACTGTAGTTTTCTGTAGTAACTGTGTGTCATCGGAGCACTGGTGCCGCGTGCTGCACTGATCCTGTGCTCGGATTAACACCTGTGTGTGTGTTTATTGTAGAACAAGAAGCAGAGGATGATGGTCCGAGCAGCAGTGCTGAAGATGAAGGACCCACGTCAGATCATCAAAGATATGGAGAAACTCGACGAGATGGGTGTGTGAGAGTGTTTGTGAGTGAGTGAGTGAGTGAGTATGAAGAGTGAGAGAGAGTGTGTGTGTGTGTGTGAGAGAGTGTGAGTATGAAGAGTGTGTGTGTGTGAGAGAGAGTGAGTCAGTGAGAGAGAGAGTGAGTCAGTGAGAGAGAGAGAGAGTGAGTGAGTGAGAGAGAGAGAGTGAGTGAGAGAGAGAGAGAGAGTGAGTGAGAGAGAGAGAGAGAGAGTGAGTGAGAGAGAGAGAGAGAGAGTGAGTGAGAGAGAGAGAGAGAGAGTGAGTGAGAGAGAGAGAGAGAGAGTGAGTGAGAGAGAGAGAGAGAGAGTGAGTGAGAGAGAGAGAGAGAGAGTGAGTGAGAGAGAGAGAGAGAGAGTGAGTGAGAGAGAGAGAGAGAGAGTGAGTGAGAGAGAGAGAGAGAGAGTGAGTGAGAGAGAGAGAGAGAGAGTGAGTGAGAGAGAGAGAGAGAGAGTGAGTGAGAGAGAGAGAGAGAGAGTGAGTGAGAGAGAGAGAGAGAGAGTGAGTGAGAGAGAGAGAGAGAGAGTGAGTGAGAGAGAGAGAGAGAGAGTGAGTGAGAGAGAGAGAGAGAGAGTGAGTGAGAGAGAGAGAGAGAGAGTGAGTGAGAGAGAGAGAGAGAGAGTGAGTGAGAGAGAGAGAGAGAGAGTGAGTGAGAGAGAGAGAGAGAGAGTGAGTGAGAGAGAGAGAGAGAGAGTGAGTGAGAGAGAGAGAGAGAGAGAGAGTGAGAGAGTGAGAGAGAGAGAGAGTGAGTGAGTGAGTGAGAGAGAGAGTGAGTCAGTGAGTGAGAGAGAGAGTGAGTGAGTCAGTGAGAGAGAGAGAGAGTGAGTGAGTCAGTGAGAGAGAAGTGAGAGAGAGAGAGAGAGAGAGTGAGTGGGTGAGTGAGTGAGAGAGAGAGAGTGAGTCGGTGAGTGAGTGAGAGAGAGAGAGAGTGAGTCAGTGAGTGAGTCAGTGTGTGTGTGCGAGAGTGTGTGTGTGTGTGTGTGCGAGAGTGTGTGTGTGTGTGCGAGAGTGTGTGTGTGTGTGTGCGCGAGCGAGAGTGTGTGTGTGTGTGCGTGAGCGAGAGTGTGTGTGTGTGAGAGAGTGTGCGAGCGTGTGTGTAAGGGAGCGAGCGTGTGTGTAAGGGAGCGAGAGTGTGTGAGCGAGCGCGAGAGCGTGTGAGCGAGCGCGAGAGCGTGTGAGCGAGCGAGCGTGTGAGTGAGCGAGCGTGTGAGTGAGCGAGCGAGTAAGTGTGTGTGTAAGGGAGCGAGCGTGTGTGTGTGTGTTAGCGTGTGTGTGTGTGTAAGGGAGTGTGTGTGTGAGCATGTGTGTGTGAGCGTGTGAGCGAGTGAGTAAGTATGTGTGTGTAAGGGAGTGAGTGTGTGTGAGTGAGCGTGTGTGTGTAAGGGAGTGAGTGTGTGTGAGTGAGCGTGTGTGTGTAAGGGAGTGAGTGTGTGTGAGTGAGCGTGTGTATGTAAGGGAGTGAGTGTGTGTGTGTGTGAGAGTGAGCGTGTGTATGTAAGGGAGTGAGCGTGTGTGTGAGAGTGAGTGTGTGAGTAAGAGAGTGAGTGTGTGTGCGCGTGCGTGCATGTGAGTGAGTGAGTGTGTGTGTGTGTGAGAGAGTGAGTGTGTGAGAGAGTGAGTGTGTGAGTGTGTGAGTGAGAGTGACTGAGTGAGTGAGAGTGTGTGTGTGTGTGTGTGAGTGAGATTGAGAGTGAGTGTGTGTGTGAGTGAGCGTGTGAGAGAGAGTGTGTGTGTGAGTGAGAGTGTGTGCATGTGAGAGTGCGTGTGAGTGAGTGTGTGTAAGGGAGTGAGTGAGCGTGTGTGCGAGTGAGTGTGTGTGTAAGGGAGTGAGTATGTGTGAGTGAGCGAGTGAGTGTGTGTGTGTGTGTGTGTGTGAGTGAGTGAGTGAGCGTGTGTATGTAAGGGAGTGTGTGTGAGTGAGTGTGTGTGAGTGAGCATGTGTGAGAGTGAATGAGCGTGTGTAAGGGAGTGAGCGTGTGTGTGTGTGAGCGAGCACGTGAGGGAGTGCGTGTGCGTGTGAGGGAGCGAGCGTGTGTAGGAGCGAGCGAGCGAGTGTGTGTGTGAGTGAGTGAGCGTGTGTACGTAAGGGAGGGAGTGTGTGTGAGTGAGTGAGCGTGTGTATGTAAGTGAGGGAGTGTGTGTGTGTG